TAAGAGACTCAGGACTAGGACAAGTATCATCTGTAATTTATAAGTTACAAGACAATTAAAAAAAAAATTAAGACTACCTGAGGCAACAAACAAGGCAAACTTGTTTCACTTCTAACAAGTATGAGCAAATAAAAGATGACCCCACAGTTGGTCTGGGAAATGCTGAGGTTGGTAAGACAATGGGATATATCAGAGAAGAGCTTCTCAGAAGTATTGAAAACTACTCCCACCTAAAAATTCTCCATATTCTTAAACAATCATGTTTCTAAATAGAGTCCTCACCTGACCTAATGACATCAAAGTCTCCATGCACCCAAGGACTACATACCAATACAATGATTTTGGCCTGTGGCTGCCTTGTGTTGATAAGTTGTACAATGGCCTCAATTCCACCTGCAACTTCCTCTGCCGTATTTTCATGGTTGTTCGTTCCTACCCAGACAACAATAACCTATAAATAAGGGGAGGAGGAGGAGAGATAGTATTCAGAGAGAAGGAATGTCTAATATTTAGATGTTTTATTCAAAAATCAAAGAAAGATGAACAGTTCAAATGGTGTTAGATAATTTCAACTGTGCAGTCACTTTAAAATAGATTCATGCCTCATACATATCAAGATGAATTCTAAGATTAATATTTGAGTGCAAAATTGTACTAGGAAGAAATAAGATTATTATTGTGGAGTTAGAAACAGTACTTAAGGGCCTCCCTGGTGGTGCAATGGGCTAAGCACCGCACTATGAAGCAATCCGCAGCCTCTGCAGCACGAGTTCGATCCCCAGCAGGCTAAGGAGCAACCCACATGGCACAGCAGACCTCTCCTGACTCGCCTGCTGCTCCCCTCAGCAGTGTATTTCAGTCAGTCTACCTGTTATGTTCCCCACTCTGTCTCTGGTGAATTCTCTCACTCCCCACATCTCTGGTCTATACCCAGCTCTTGTATGCATAATAAATCAATCTTAAAAAAAAAAAAAAAAAAAAAAAGGGGGTCTCTCTGGTGGCGCAGGCTGTTGAGCCCACACTGTGAAGCTGTCCACAGCCTCTGCAGCACAGGTTTGATCCCGGCCGGTTGGCGAGAATCCCACATGGTGCAGCAGACCTCTCCTATCTCGCCCCCTGCTTCCCTCAGCAGTGTCTTCGGTCCGTCTGCCTATTCTATTTTTTTTTTTTTTTTGGGCCAGATGGAAGAGACATTTTATTTAAAGGCAAAGTACCCAAATGGCTCTCTGGAGTAGGTAATTTCTACTTTCACACTTATCCATTTACACATGATCCCCTAACCTTAATTTTCTTTCTTCTTAAGGGGCTGATTTGGATTGGCTTGTTAAAAATATGGAACGCTTCACGAATTTGCGTGTCATCTTTGCGCAGGGGCCATGCTAATCTTCTCTGTATCGTTCCAATTTTAGTATATGTGCTGCCAGAGCGAGCACCTGTCTGCCTATTCTGCTCCCCGCTCTGTCTCTGGTGAATTTTCTCACCTCCCACACCTCGGACTGTACCCCAGTTCTTGTATAAATAAAAAATTCTTAAAAAAAAAAACAATTAAGCATCTACATATCACAAAAATGTTTTTAAGTGAAATCTAAGACACTGGGGGAAATACTTGCAACTCAAAGAAAAAAAAAAAAAAAAAAAGACTCCTCGACTAGACGTACCTTTTGAAATAATTAACAGATGTGCCCAGGGGAATGTAAAGGATTTCAACACATTGCTGCACTCATATACTGGGATGGAGGCTGAATGTATTTTTAACAAGTTTTTCTCTTAAAAAAAATGTGGGCATCCCTGGAGGCACAGGGGTTAAAGACACAGCGCTATCAAGCTATCTCTAGCTACTGTGACATGAGTTACATGCCCAGCCAGGGAGCTACCCACATGACGCAGACGCAGCACCCTCTCCTGACTCACCCACTCCTCCCTCAGCAGTGTATTTCAGTCAACCCGTTTGTTCTGCTCCCCACTCTCTCTGCTGAATCCTCCTACCCCCTGCACCTCTGGCTTATACCCCAGTTCTTGTATACATAAATAAATAAATCTTTAAAAAAAATTTTTACAGTCATCACCTAGAAATGTAACAGCTTCCTATATGACTCCACAAGTAACTTCTACTCTGTCACAAAAGAATAGGTAAGTTTTGGGCCTCCCCGGGGGCGCAGCAGTTGAGTGCTGGGCTGCAAAGCTGCCGCAGCCTCTGTAGCGCCAGTTCGATCCCCAGCCACTGGCGCGCAGACCTCTCCTGCTGTGCTCGCAGCTCCCCTCAGCAATACTTCGTCAGTCTGCCTGTTCTGCTCCCCGCTCTGGCACTGGTGAATTCTCTCACCCTCCCGTGCATCTGACTGTACCCAGCGCTTGTATAAATAAATAAATAAATCTTAAAAAAAAAAAAAAAAAAAGGTAAGTTTTTCTTTTAGAAAGGCAAAGAATAAAATACTTTCAATTGGGGCCTCCCCGGTGGCGCAGCGGTTGAGCGCTGGGTTGTGAGGCTGCCTGCAGCCTCTGCAGCGCCAGTTCGATCCCCGGCTGCTCCCCGGCCACCAGAGGAGGGTCCACATGGCGCGCAGATCTCTCCTGCCACCCGCTGCTCCCCTCAGCAGTGTACTTCGGTCCCTCTGCCTGCTCTGCTCCCCGCTCTGGCTCTGGTGAATTCTCTCACCTCCCCGCTTCTGACTGTACCCAGTGCTTGTATAGATGAAATAGTTAAGTCTTAAAAAAAAAAAAATAAAAAAAAAAAAATACTTTCAATTGACACAACTGTTATCAGTGGCTCAACTGATAAATGGAAAAAGGTGTTTTTTCCCCATGTTTGAGGTTGAAAAAAATCATATACAGTCTGTCACTTCAGGACCTTTATAATGTGACAAAGTACTGGGTACATGTTTGTTTGTTTTTAAAGATTTATGTATACATACAAGAACTGGAGTACAGGCCAGAGGTGTTGGGATGTGTGAAAGGATTCACAGAGTGGAGAACAGAACAGGCGGATTGACTGAAATACACTGCAGAGGGTAATAGCAGGCGAATCCGGAGAGGTCTGCTGCACCATGTGGGTTTCTCTCTGGCTGCCGGGATCAAACTCATGCTGCAATGGCTGCAAATAGCTTCATAGGTCAGGTCTTAACCCCTTGCGCCACCAGGGAGGCCCAGTACTGGGCAAATGTTTATGGTGAATTATTTATTCACATCTGCTTCAAATTTTTTTCAGAAGAACTTAAGAGGCCTTGACTATCAATTTGTTTACATGGTTAAATAGGCCCAAAATTACTCCCTGAAGGGGGGCCTCCCAGGTGGCTCAGCAGTTGAGCGCTGGGTTGAGGAGCTGCCCGTGGCCTCTGCAGCGCCGGTTTGTTCCCCGGCCGCCTGGTGAGGGTCCCACATGGCGCGCAGGCCTCTCCTGGCGCTCGCTGCTCCCCTCAGCAGTGTACTTCATCAGTCTGCCTGTTCTGCTCTCCGCTCTGGCTTTGGTGGATTCTCTCACCCTCCCGCGCCTCTGACTGTACCCAGTGCTTGTATGAATAAATGAAAATCTTAAAAAAAAAAAAAAGACAAAATTACTTCCTGAAGGGAACTTGGCTCTGCTCTTAAGGCCCACCTCTAAGCAGTTTCTCCTCATAAGGTATCAGGTCCACAGAACAGCCCACCTAATCAGCATGGAATCTTCTTCTACAGCTGAAAGAGTACAAGTATGACCAGGGATAACAACAGATGGTCTTTTTAATTAAATATGTATTTGGAATGTTCTTAAGTAACGAAAATATCATTTCCCTTAAAGAGGCATGAAGCTGAAATAGTGAAAAAACACTTTAAAGAAGCAATTTTTTTTTACTTACCAGTTTTAGGCAATTTGTACCTGAAAAAGACACAAGATTAATGATAGTCTTTAAAAAAAAAAGTTCTTTTCACCTTAGGTTTAATATTTTCCAGTTCTCCATTCTTTAGTCTCCACAAAACATGTCTTGTTGTATCTCCCCCAATTCCAAAATTCAGAGCATGAAGTGGAGAAAAGAGCTCTCGCCAAATCTAAAAAGAGAGAAACTCAATTTATTCTGGGTAAAATCAGTAGGGAATAAGATTCTTTACCTGCAGAAATATTTTGAGGCAATGGAAGTAACATTTCATGTTTTGTATTCCAACATTACAGTGCAGATGGTCAATCACCCTCTGTTTAAAGGGCTTTGCATATGCCATTGTGTGACTCAGTTCTTGATGCAGCACTGGTCTTAGCCCCAGAACTGAATCACAACTCAACCTGATGACCCCTTAAGAGGTACCAATATTTATAATAAAGTTGTGATTCAATAAACTCTCCTTTCATTTTGTTCAGTCATTTAAAAGACTAAGGTAAAATAAAAACAAACACAAAATGAAATTTTGAGTGCTGGAGCCAAAAAGAAATAGTTATCTTTTCTTTTAAATTTCCTTTGATATTACTCTTACCCCTAAAAACAAGATTTGGAACAGCTTGCTGTAGAAATATATAAAATAATGGTGAAAACTGTAACTAAGACAAATATAAATGAGCAAATACAATCAAGAAAATAGTAAAATACAAGTAAGTAGAAACTCATGATGAAGACAAATACAGGTAAATATAATGTGAAGCTTCTTGGAAGTCAAAGCAAAAAGGAAGTTTAGTTATAAACAATGCTAACTTTTTTTTTGTCTCATCAAGTATGAAGAATCCCACTAGGTGGGTGTGACTCTCATACGCTAATCTAGAGCTTCTCTACAGTGTCAAGGGTAAGTGTATAGGTTCAGCTTAGAAAGTCTGTTAGCAACATATGGGTTCACATTAGTTGCCAAGAACACCCTCACCCCTTCCACCTTTACCTCATATTGTTGCATTAACTGCACCATTGAGTCCCCCACAAATAGTACATCAGGCTCTTTGTCTTTACAGTCCAGGACAAATCTGTTGTGCTGGTTTGAAAAGAGAAATTTAGAAGGTGGTTATTCTTTCCTTGTGCAATATCTTGGTCTAGACAAAACTGTTGTTCAACCAGTTACATACTATGTTGCTAAGCATTCCATTTGTCTCTAAAACTTACTCCTCTCAATCTGCAATTAAATGTTGCAATTTTTTTACCCACCCTTACCCTATTGATCATGTAAGTAAGTGCTTCAGAAAACAGGGATTCTACTGAAACCAGAAGAGAAAACTACATTAACATGTTTTTTTAGAAGTTTTTCTTTCTCTCAAATTTAACCATGGAAACATATTATTTTAACTGTACTTAACAATATGCATTTTTAAGCTGAAAGGATGAGATGAACAAAAATAAAACTCCAGTTAATGAATTAGGTGCATTTTCACATCATGTCAACTTTCTACTGCATGAACTGAAGTCACCAACTATTAATATATCTCCGTACTAACAGCTCAGTTTTTAGAGTGTCTTGGAATTTACACTCTACCATTCTAAAGGTTTAATTACTCTACATTTTCTTTTTAGTTACAGCAAGTTTGGAAAAATAGAAAAGGAACACCAAACACCTCTAATTCTACCATCCTAACTCAGCAACTTTTACTATATATGGTATTTTCTTCTCATCCTTTTTCATACACTCTCCCTCTCACCCCCATGCCATAGCTGAATCATTACGTACACCTCTTTCTGGCTTCTTTGGCTTTGGGGACAGAAAAACCTCATTCAAATCCTAGCTTGTCTACTTTGCAACCCAATGACCTTAAGGAAGTACATAATCTGAGTCTTGTTTTTCCCATCTGCTGGCAACTTCATTTTAGACTTGCGAAGACGAGAGTTCTATGAAAGGGGCTCAGCTGCTGGTGGGCACCCAGTAGGTAATAAATAGCAGTCATGACCAACTGCACCTAACGTTACATGAGAATTATTTTTCTATGGAGCTACATGACTTTCATAGTCATAATTTTTAACTGCCAGATAATATACCACTGAACACACCCATTAAAAAAATTATTTTCCTATCAACAGAATTGTCAGTAATACTGTTATAAAGAAGTTTACATGTACTCTATTTTTTACATACTGGGAATTCTTAGGTCAAACTTTCATGGATCTTGGATAATATCTTCAAATTCTTAGCCCAAGGGGCTATATATCACAACTGGTTTTATTATAACCATACTTGCTCTGGATATTAAACTTTTTCTTTCTTCTTTCTCTTCCCATTGTTCTAATTTGTATTTTTTCTTTTTTTTTTTTTAAATATTTATTTATTTATTTATACAAGCACTGGGTACAGTCAGAAGCGCGGGAGGGTGAGAGAGTTCACCAGAGCCAGAGTGGGGAGCAGAGCAGGCAGAAGGACCGAAGTACACTGCTGAGGGGAGCAGCGGGCGGCAGGAGAGGTCTGCATGCCATGTGGGACCCTCCGCCGGTGGCCAGGGAGCAGCCGGGGATCGAACCGGCGCTGCAGAGGCTGCGGGCAGCTTCGCAACCCAGCGCTCAACCGCTGCGCCACCGGGGAGGCCCTAATTTGTATTTTTTGAGGGAAAAAAATGTTAAAAACTTCCTGCCCTGTTTTATTAAGATACTTATCTAGTGATACCATGAGGATATTTTTATGATAATATAATAAAAAACATCAATGCCTCATCTATAATATTTACTTGATCTATAACATTTAGTATTTTCCTTAGTCTGCTGCTGAGCCTTCTTTTTTAGCTTAATTTTTTGGTATGATCTGTACTGAGTTTACCTACTGCCAAGTCTTTCATTATCACCCTTAAAATAAATCTTTTATTATGGAAGATATCAAACCTACACAAAAGCAGAGAGAATAACATAATGAACCTACATGTACCCATCACCAACTACAGCAATCACCTAATTACAGCCACTATTATTTCGGTCATTTCCCAAACTACTGCTCTATCCCATCCTCAGATTTTAAAGCAAATTGAAGACTGTATTTAAAAACCAAGATCTGTTTTTTTCCCCAATAATTAGTGTTTTAATACTTAGTAAAGTTAGTCCTTCCATATTATGCAACTTAAAAAAATATAAATAATCTTGTTTTTCTTCCATTTCACTATTTTTTTCCCCAATCAGCACAATTTAAAATCTGCTAATTTATACCAAGGAACAAATGGCTTCTAGGTCTAGTTATTATTTTTCATAGTTATAAATGATGAATGCTCATTAATGAAAAATGGGTAAATCCATTTTGGTGTTTTCATTTATAGCAATGAAGTACTAAAGAAAAAAGAGTAAACTATAGCTACACTTTTAATACATGATATACTGCAGAAAAATACATTCAGAACGACAGATGCAATTTAAAGACATGGAAAATAATATGTGTTTTATATACATACAAATATATGTAATACGTAAATACATGAAAATACCCAATTTAGGATATTGGTTTGGGGATGAGTTGTCAGGAAAGAAAGAAATATGGTCAATTAACCTAAGAAGAACATAAATTCTATTAGCAATCTTTTTGGGCCAATGGAAAATACAGATATTTCATATTACTTCTTTCATAATACTTTTTTAAAAGTACAAACTAGGAAGCCTAAGTAAGAATAACTTAGTAATAATCATATGAAAACATAAAAAAAAAAATAGTACTACTCTAAATAAGTTAGCTGACAGGCTTTTAAGTATGGAAAGACAAGAAAAAATACCCTGAAGGGTATTAACACTGAAGTACAAAACTTGTAACTACTTAAAATAACACAGACCTTGTTATTCAAAGAGGTAATACAATTGGAAACAAAATTAAATATAGTCATAGACAAACATGGCAGTTTATTAAGAGGAAAGTAATAAAAATGCTAAAAAAAACAATGGGACACATGAAAAAGAGGCCAGCATGAAAGGATTCCTACCTGCTAAATTACAATGAATGATAATCCAGTGAATAAAATAAGAACCCAGGAGTCCATACTATAATAAATTGACAAGACATGATGTAGGCCAACACAATCTTAACCAAGTGGTAAACACTATCAACGAGACCAAGCATCATCATGGCCTTCTATGGGATGCACTGATATTCCTGCCAAAACTGTAATCTGAATCTTAATTATGAGGAAGAAACCAACCCAAATTGAGAGATAGTCTACAATAACAAATATTTTACTATTCCAAGATGTCAATATCATGTGACTCTAGACTGGGAAGAAATCTGACACAAGAACATCTTTGGGACAACTGGAGAAATGAGGGTATGGCTTCTGAATTAAGCAATCAATGCCAAATTTTCTGATTTTAATAATTACACTGCAGTTATGAAGAAAACGTCTTTCTTAGAAAACACTAAATATTTAGGGATGAAGGAATGAGGCCTGCAACTTATTATCAAATGGTTCAGAAAATACAGTACGTTGGTATACACATACACGAACAGGTACAGACACAATAATTAGGCATTTATGACAATTGTTAACAACTGGCAAATCTAGACAACGCTTATAGGGTGTTCTTTTTAAAATTTTTGTATTAATTTTGAAATTACTTCAAAATTAAAAAGCTTAAAAACGAGAATACTATAGGGCCTTCCTGGTGGTGCAGGGGTTAAAGTCTCAGGGTTATCAAGCTATCGCCTACCACAGCAGTCTAAGTTCAATCCCTGGCCAGGGAGCTAGACCACATGGTGCAGCTAACCTCTTCTGTTTTGCCCTGCTCCCCTTAGCAGTGTATTTCAGTAGATCTGCCTGTTCTGCTCCTCACTCTGTCGCTGGTGAATTCTCTCACCCCCTGTACCTCTGGCCTAAACCCCAGTTCTTCTATGAAAGAAAGAAATAAAATCTTAAAAAAAAACCCAAAAACCCAACAACTCCCTTTCGAGCTTGGGGCAAAAGACTCTCAAACACTGAAGTGGCTCATCTCATGTGAATAATACATACACACTTCCTTTTACCTGAGACATCCACCTGTCATCTCCTTGAATATCTTCTGCTGCATGTGGAATAGCTGCTGGATTTGAGTCTCCTTGGCTCATTCTACACCTGAGGAAAAAAATGTCATATTTCACTCATTTTATTATGTGTTACCACTTAGGTGTTAAACATAAAGTTTTAAACAATAATTTAAGATGCATTGTGGTTTTGTCTAGAAACTAACCAACTGAAGTTTATTTTCAGCAGAGATAAGTTCGATAACATGACAACTATTTACATCCCATAAATATCCAGCATCACTAAACTTCCAGACAGATTTGAATGTCATTAAAAGCAATACGACATTTAAAAAATCTGTTCCAACTATAGTGTTTACATCTATATTAATCTTGTATGACTACTTACTGTAAGTATCAAGTGACACTACCAACTAGACACTTACAGTCCATTAGTGCCCTTCAGACTGAAAGTTACACATTTAAGGATAACTACACTGCTGATTATATACTGATTAAACAGCAAACACTGGATATTAAACATCAGGCAAGTAACTGTACTACAGAGTACAATAGATAGACTTTGATACTAGTTAAATAGACTTTGATAAATAGACTTTGGTACTAGTTTTTAGCAAATGTTTATTAGGTATTTTTATTTTTAATGGGTCTCTACTAAGAAACTTACTAATGATCAGCCCAAACATGGGTTGATCTGATAATGAAGTCTGATAAGTGAAATTCAGAAAAATTTAAAATGCTGCAATATTCCAAAAGGAAAAAATAAGGAATAAGACTGTTTTCAGTCAATTCTGGAGAATACTTACTAAAAGACATTTTAGGCTCAAGAGGTCATTTGGTAAATGCTAAGGATGCTAAAAATGAGGAATAGCTGGGATTTGGGACACATTTATTTAGATTACTAAAATTTGTAACTATCAGAAAACTATATATAGATATACATAGTCCCATTACACACACACTCACACACACTCTTTCTCTCTCTCCATATATATATATATTCATTCCTTAATAGGACTCCAGTCCTCACAAAAATACTACAAAAACAAGGATCAGATAGTTTAGGTAATAATCACAGTGAGTGACTGAAATTAGGGTTGCATGACCCCAATAACATTAAATCTGGCCCACTTATCACAAACCAGTTCATGCTGACTCCTTAAAGGGGACCTTCTAGTTAACCATTTCACTCAAAAGACACCTACCACACTGAATTAAAACATCAATACATAAAGTGGTGAGAACTGTAAAATGAACATGTATAGCACCAATCAGACTATGGGATCTCTCTGGGATCTCACTGTTGAAGAAAGGCGTGGAAAATGAAAAGACAAAGGAAAAAAGCAAAAATGATTAAATAATTAAAATAGCCACATAAATTCATTCAAAATTTGAGTTTAGGGGCCTCCCTGGCGCAGCAGTTGAGCCACGGGGCTGCAAAGCTGCCCGCAGCCTCCGTAGCGCCATTCGATCCCCGGCCACTGGGGAGGGTTCCACATGGTGCGACAGACCTCTCCTGCCGTGCCCACTGCTCCCCTCAGCAGTGTACTTCAAAGGTCTGCCTGTTCTGCTCCCCGCTCTGGCTCTGGTGCATTCTCTCACCCTCCCGCACTGCTGACTGTACCCAGTGCTTGTATAAATAAATAAATAAATAAATTTTAAAAAAAAAAGCAAAAAATTCGAGTTTATTTTTGATTTTGATTTTTAAGTCAGTAAGATTTTCTATGCCTTCTATAGAAAAGTTTCTTGGGATCTAAGTTCAATTCTAGATTTGTCAGGCAATTTAGATTAAATTGACAGGGTGCTTATTACCAAGTTTTAATTTTTAAAACATCTTTCGTCTCTGCTGATCAAAAAACCTTACTAGCTAAGTTAGGACAGAAAGGGGCAAACAACTTATCCAATCTTACGGATTTCAAAATTAGAAATACAATATAAAAAAGTATAGCAACAAACAATTTAATTTTCCACTTGCTAACTGAGTAAGCCTGCTTCCTAACTTTTAAAATAGATTTTTAAAAACCTACCAATTTCGGGCCCCCCGGTGGCGCAGCGGTTGAGCGCTGGGTCACGAAGCTGCCCGCAGCCTCTGCAGCGCCAGTTTGATCCCCAGCTGCTCCCGGACACGGCCACCGGAGGGTCCCACATGGCGCACAGACCTCTCCTGCCGCCCGCTGCTCCCCTCAGCAGTGTACCTCGGTCTTTCTGCCTGCTCTGCTCCCCTCTCTGGCTCTGGTGAATTCTCTCACCCTCCTGCGCTTCTGACTGCACCCAGTGCTTGTATAAATAAATAAATAAATATTTAATAAACAAATAAATAAATCTTAAAAAAAAAAGCCATCAAACTATGCAAAGATTACCATGCAGCTTTCATTTAAAAAAAAAAAAAAAAAAAAACCTACCAATTTCATTAATTTGCTCCCCTATACTGTCCTACCTGGAGAAACAGTTAACATGTTAACCGACACAGAGTTTAATAGAGAATATAATTAAAGGATCTCTACTGAAAAGGAGAAAAGTAATCTGTCCTAATCTCACTATATAATTATATAATGGAAACTATTTTTCCTGGGGATTATTTCAAGATCAAGGATGAGAAACTGTGAATATGAGCTGTCTTCCTTATGCATAATTCAAATACATCCCTCACTACTTAAAGACAAGATATAGACACTTCATTTGTTTTTGGAATACCAAGTTCAGATCTTGTTGAGAAACTTAAAAAGGATTTTGGCAAACTGGAGGGTGATCAGGAGGAAAAGAGCCAAGATGATGAGAAATTTGAACCCGTCATGTTAGAAACAGTTGAAACAAACAGGTGTGTTTATAATCAGGAAAAAAAAATCAAAACAAACAAATGGTTGGGGAAGAGGAAGACACAGAACAAAAAGAGCCATCAAACTATGCAAAGATTACTGGGAAGAGATTATCAGACTTATTCTTCATGTCCCAAAGCAGGAAGCCAGGGTCTGTAGGTAGTAGCATGTACAGTGAGACAAATTTCTAACAAAATGGCATGGCCTGTGCCACAAGGTAGATTCCACCAAGGAGATTCAAAGTGGTTAGGAGAACACAGAATAGGAAAGCTTATAGTGGACTAAAGCATACAAGCAAAGACTGGATCAGAGTAATGAGGTCCACACACCTCCAGAGGTTTTAGAATTATTTTTGAAATGCACCGCAATATAGGTATACTTATTTTTAAGTTAAATGTGTGAATTACTGTTAATCTGTACATTACATATTAGCAAAGATTACTTTTTTCTTTTTACAAAAAATTAAGAAGTTCTAGTGTTTTTTCCCCTGTATTCAAATGGAATATCTTATGTATCCCTGGGAGAACATATACTCTACTTTCAAGACCAATAAAAACAACAATAACTCTTTAGATCTATGATTCAATTTACAGACATAAATATTCAGAGCCCCTTCAACAGGTAAACTGATCAAGAATTATAATTGTAATAACCACAATTAAGATTTATCATAAATTTATTATTTATAAGACACTTGTGTAGGAGCTTTGTTATTTAAATAAAACTGAAGCTGGGCAAGATTTAAGGATCCTACTCTATCTATAAGTGTAGAGGTGAGATTTGAACTCAGGGTACCATAACTCCAAAGTCTATTATTCTTGGGCAAAGGATGTCAAGCTCTATCTAGAAAAAAATATATGGAGTAGTGATGAATTCTAATTTAGTAAATGTATTCACTTAAATTTCTATTATTACTACCCAAATTTAATGGCATTCTGACGCTACCCTGATTAAAACCTCTCAGTCTCAAATTTCTCCATGGGCAAAAAAAAAAAAAAGGCATACTGCTCACTGGTGGCGTAGCAGGTTGAGCTCAGCGCTGTGAAGCTGTCCGCAGCCTCTGCAGTGCAAGTTCGATTCCTGGGCGGCTAGGGAGATAGTCACATGGCGCAGCACACCTCTCCTGCCTCACCCACTGCTCCCCACAGCAGTGTTTTCGGTGGTCTGCCTGTTCTGTTCCCCACTCTGTCTCTGGTGAATCCTCTCATCCTCCCATGCCTCTGGCTTGTACCCCAGTACTTGTATAAAAAAAAAAAAAAACTTAAAAAATTAAAAAAAAAAAAAAGCTATACTAACAGAGAAACTGAGGAACAAATTATTTATCTGAGGTCACCAGGTAGGTAGAACTGGGAGAGAGGGCAGTTGTTCCCAATTCACTAGGTTTTTTTTTTTCCTTTACAAATACAAGGTCATATTTCTTCCCTTTCTACAAGGGCAAAATATTTGAGCAAAAATTTGTTTCTTTGTGCATTCAGAAACTTGGATTTTGTACTATTTTGCCAAATCAAAGTCTTACAATACAAAGTAGCTTCCATAGTTGTACTAATATCTACAGCTTGGGACCGCTTTTAAACAGCAGGTAAAGAAAAACGGAGCCACAAATCCATGCAATTCCCCTTTAACAACCTGGCTTGAACTATCCAAGCTAGGAGACTTATATATTTAGAGGATAATAAATCATTTGGGAGTTAATTACCTAAACTGGTGTATACTTACAATAAAAATGAAGAATGAAATCAGGAGCCATCCAGAGAACAGCCCATGCTGGGGCCACAAAAATTTGGTGACTTTGGCTTTCCTGCCTCAGTTTACTCAGTGATGGTAACAGCAGCAGTCAGAAGAGTGACACTTTCATCGGTAACCACAAGGAAAGGACCAACTGGGAGGTATGTGACTCCCATCTCTCCTTACTGGTTCTTAATACTCTCCCCCATACAACAAGTCATTAACTCCTGAGATCTCAAACAGCCGGTTCAGTTAGAAAAAACTCAGAATGGAGATTAAGGTCGCAAGAACAAGTTTTAATTTACCTAGATGCTATTCCAAGGAGGCTTTAATTAGCCATTAAAATGAGTTCTCTGGAAAAATGGCTAAGCAATTTGCACAGTATTTCTCAATTTACCCTCATTTTCTATCTTTTTTATTTGGACTGTGACACTAAACCACCAGTTTTCAGACGCTTATAGGAGACCAGTTCCAACAACAAAGAAATACAAATTCTCAAACTAAGCTGGAAGTTTATTCTATTTTTAAAAGATTTATTTATTTATGCATACAAGAGCTGGGTTGTAGGCCAGAGGTGGGGGAGGTGAGAGGATTCACCGGAGACAGAGTGGGGAACAGAACAGGCAGATCTACTGAAATACACTGCAGAGGGGAGCAGCCGGGAGACAGCAGAGGTCTGCTGAGCCATGTGGGTTAGCACCCCAGGCCTGGGGATTGAACTCATGCTGCAGTGGCTGGCTATGCTAGATAACTTTCATAGAGACTTAACTCCTGTGGCACCAGGGAGGCCCTGGATGTTTCTTTAGTTTAACCAGGAAAGTCATGAAGGGGCAAAGTTGTACTAAGAAAAGATTCAGAATGTTTCTACTCTGACCTAAGACTCCTCATTTTGTTTCAGAGGCAGTTGGCAGTGTGATCCTGGAGGGGCAGGCAGGCCTCATTCTGAATATCCTGCCTCAGTGGCCTGGTGTGTGGGTCCCTTGGTTCCAGCGCATCCATAATTTATTATCAAATGCCCAAGCCAACAAATTAAAGCACAATGACTTCCTACTCCTCCCCTGCTCCCCCACAAGGAGGCAACCTTTAAGTCAGAACAATGTGCCCAGGAGAATCTAAAGACACCAAGCAGATCTAAGGCAAAGCCTTTCTGAAACGCTCAGGGACAACAAACCTAGGTGTTTTCTGCTTTCTCCACATCTTTGCCTCTCACCCCCTTCCAACTTAAAGCTATACAATAGGAGGTGCTAGGCTGGATCCAGGTGGGCTAATTAAGAGGTCAAAGCTTCAAGTATTTGATTTTCTTAAGGTGTGTATATAAATTATGAAAAGCAACGCTGGCCTGAGAGTTATGGAAAGCAGAAGAGTGAGTCATCGCGCAACGGGTTTATCACAAACTTGTAGGACAGAAGGGCCTGATCTGGTAAGTGGAAATGGAGCAGGTGAAAAAAACACCAAAACCCCCGGCCCCTAGGTCCATTTACCTAGCAGGTTGACCTTGGGCAAATCACCAACCTCGCTAGACCGCACCTCGAGGATGAGGTGCTGGGCTGGACAGCCCTCTAAGGAGGGATCGATCCCTGCAGCGCCGTGACAGTCTATGGCTTTTTGAAAACATTAGAAGAGGAAACGGACAAGTTTCTGAAGAGGTGAAATTCTTCAACACCAGAGGGAGGAAGAAAATGCTCAGTCAGAAAACAGAGAAACTGGTTTGGGCCCGCGCTGCAGGCCTCCCAGACAGGAGCAGCGCGGAGAGGCCGGCCAGAGGTCCAACCACCCGAGGGGGAGCACAGGCAACAGCTGAGCCCGGCGGCAGGGAGTCGCTCCACGCGGTGCTTGCAGTGCCGAAGGCCCCTCCAGAAGAGCAAGGGGTGCAGGGTGGGGGCTACCCCGGCGGGTGGGCAGGGGAAGGGCGGTGCGCCCCGCCACGGTTTTCCTGCACGCGCAAAGGCGGAGTGGAGGAGCAGGTCAGCGGCAGAGGAGAGGCGACAGGTTTGGGGGTAGGATGCTGAGGAAAGGATCCCAGGGGCGACGCGGGGCCTGGAGGTCCAGGGAGCAGCGCGGGCGGCGGGCAACCAACGCGGGGCCCGCGGAGAAGGCGCGCGCGCGAGGCCCCCAAGGGGCGGCGGGGGGAGGGGCGCGCGGTGGGGGAGGGGCGGCCGCGGGCCTCTCACAATAACAAATCGCAGTCCCTTCCAAGCCCCGGCCCTACCGCTCGGGTCCCCGCTATCCGGGGTGCACTCACTCAGGCAGGGGGTCCGTGTGGGCCCCAAGCGGCTGCGGCGTCGGCGGGAGGCGCGTCTGTTGCTCGCTCAGCCCCGGCGGCCCCGCTCCGGCGCGTCCCTCCTCGGGCCCCAGCACCAGCAGCAGCGCCCCCACTTCCGGTTCCCCCGCCGCGGAGGCAAATGGCTTCCGGAAGTCCCGCCCCATCCCGCCCGGCCCGGCCTGGCGCGCCGCTCCCGCTCTCCCTCCCGGGGGGCGCTCGGGGCTGCGCCAGGTGTCCCGCCACGCCCCGCGAGGTGGCCCGCTTTGTTCTCCACCCTGCGCTCCTCTGGCTCGTCTGCGCGACTCGGGCCTCTCTGTCTGGCCTCCAGGGCGCCCCGCCATCCTGCGGGAATGTCCCCGCTGTGTAGACATGGCTTTCGGGACAATGTACGTGACCTCACACTGACGCCATTCCCTTCCCACACAGACACCCTGGCTTCGTTCTCCCCCCCCCCCTCCCCCGGTGGAACAAACCAGACTGCTGGAGTGGGAGGGATAGAGGGCCTCATGGTTAATAAAGCAGTCCCCTGCGTTAGGAGGGGAGTTTCTGGTTTTATGATGAATGTGGGGATTTTAGGTGACCACCACCCCATGATGGGGTGGTGAGTTGCCACAGCCTTCCTAAATGGTCCATCCAGTTTAGGGGAAGACACAGCTACAAAATGAATATCGAATAGAGTGTATGCCAAACGCGGGGTCTGTCAGAGTAGACAGCCCTGCACAACCTCGTAGCGAAACCTTTGTTAAGGATGGATAGTATTCGTTTAAACCTATGCCAGGGAATAAGGTAGAGCCTTCTGGAGCTCAGAAAATGAGTGTTGATTTTGCTGACAGAATCTGCTGACAGAATACTACAAGAGCTTTTTCATGATCTATCAAATTGTTTTTTCAGATCACCCCTGTCAAGTGGTACTAAATTCATCATATGAAATGATGTCTTCATACAAAATGAGTTTTACGTTGCTAATTTACCTGCAGATGCTCACACAATATATGGCACACCAGTAGGTAGGTGTTCAGTTGATGTTTGTTGTCTTAATGAAAAGAATTTGTATTTGGGGAACTCAGCTGATGGTGTAAAGAGGCAGCCCATAAATACGTTGATAACAGGAGAGAAAGGGCTTGAATTAGTCTCTAGGGATTCATTCAGAATAGCATGTTTCCCCAGTTTTAACATTGGACACACTTTACGGTGATTGCTACTTTAATACACTGTCTTCCCTGCTTTGCTATACTCTCTGATTCTGTGGGTCCCGGCCCCTGACTTAGTGGCTGATCCATTGTAGAAACTCTAAGTGCTGCTGAATGAGGAATGAATGATCAAGGGTTGAATTTGTGCCTTTGTGGAACCCATGGCCCATCTTTATACTTTTTTGTTTTCTATTTTTAAATTAACAAACATAAACAAGGGAGGTGTGCCCCTAGGAAATACTATACCTTCTTAAATTAGCCTCTCAAATGTTTACATACCTTCATAGCTCAGTCTGTTTTTGGTGTTTTGACAAAATCTCTTATGTCATTGAACCCTGAAATTTATTGAGAGCTCAACTCCTTAATTTGTTTGAGCTTTCTAAATAATTTATAGTTTCAAAAATATGCAACTGGTACTGTGGAAATGACCATTAAGTAGGCTTCAGGGTGCCCTGGGTTCTTGTCTGAGAGCTTCTGCTCATTTGACTTCTTTTAACCTTTTCTTCCCCCAATGTCTGTAAGAATAAAAGGACTATATCATTGCTAAAGTCCTTTCTCAGCTCTTACCCTCCCTTCTGATACATGGGGGAATATAATTCTGGTGGCATAGACACTCTATCTCACTACTCATGCTTCCCACACGCAGTCTCCCATCCCCAGGAGGCCCCATTCACAGTCTGTGAGTGGTGAGAAGTAAAAATAACTGTCATCTAACTATGAGACAAATTGGCTGAAAACTATCAGGAGAGTTTGCCCTACAAGTTATTTTTCCATTAACGCTGATGGGTTTTAGAATTCCACATTTTTTTTTATATCTATCTATCTGTCTGTCTATCTACATCTATAAGTATATATATATTTTGGGGGGGGTCAAAGGGAGTTTTAGTCTTCTTAACAAAGAAAAATAAAGAGAAGGTATCCACACATGTATAATTAAAATGTGGACACAAATTAGACAAAAAAGTTAAGTGTTAATTATTTGGTGGGAATATGAATGTTGTGTTATTCTTGTACTTGTCTGCATCTTTCCAAAACAAAAATATCTGAACCTCAAGAGAGTATGTCACCATCCTGGGATGTATATTCCAAGGCTGGGTGCCATGTGTCACCAAGCTCTGCATGGTGGCTGGGTGCCATGTGTCCCCACCCAGCGTGGTAGCTCTCCACATTCCTTAATCTGTTCTCCCTTATGACAAAATGCCAACCTAAAGAAAGAAAATATATAGACCCTGAGTAAATGTCTGTGGATAGATAGGAGTCTTCAGATGGGTTAGAGTGAATGTGATCAAAAGTCAATCTAGGGCTTTGGTAATGAGAAGTGTTGAAACATCACCTAAGTGGCCTGGAATTTAGGAGACTACTTGGCAATAATAAAGCTGAGATATTTCAGAGGACCTGGCATGTCAGACATGAAAAGAGGGAAAAAAAGCTATGTGAACTAAGAATGGATATGCAGTATGAATTCAGGATATTTCTATGGGTAGAACCTAGGATCAGATGGTTTTTATAACAGGAGTTTCAAATTTTGTTGATTTAAAAACATTAACAAATGTTTCAACAGATAAAAACAATTTCACTGACCTTACAAATTAACATATTTTTATTTGCCTAAATTCCTTTCATTTAATAACCTTATTTCGCAATTTGAAAATATTTGAGATCAAGCCAAGATATTGTTGGAAATATAGCAAAGGCCATGTTATAACAACATTCCACAACTGAAAAATGTTTCCGTCATGTTATTCTTTTTAAAAACAGCATGTGTGTTTTAGTTTCACTATGAACTCATAGATGGAAGCACATTTAATATGTTTCATTCCATTGCAATTACTAAGCTTATTGATAACAAGATTGTTCCATCTTTAGTTAGCAGGACCCTACTCAAGTTGGCGCATGAAGCATTTTGTCCTGACCAAACACTGATCTGCTTTCTGCCAGTTTTTGCCTTTTCTATAATTTCATATAAAAAATGGGATTATATGGTAAGTACTTTCTTGTTTCTGGTTTCTTCTGTTTAACAATATATTTTTGAGATAATCCATGTTATTAATAGCATGTGTCAGTATTTATTTTTTATTGCTTCGTAGTATTCCATTGTATGAATAGTCTATTTATCATTTTAGCAGTTAATGGAGTTGCTTTGCTGGATGAAAATTCATGTAGAAGTCTTTATGTGCACACGTGTTTTCATTTCTGTTGGAGAAAAATGTAGGAATGGAATTGCAAATGTTTGTCTTACATTATAATAAATTGACCATCCGTTTTCCAAAGTGGTTTAACTTTCTATAGTCTCACCAGCAGAGTTTGAGCATTACAGAGTTGCTCTGCATCCTTGATAACACATTTTTTTTTAAAGGTTTATTTATTTATTTATTTATTTATGCAAGCACTGGGTACAGTCAGAAGCACGGGAGGGTGAGAGAATTCACCAGAGCCAGAGGGGAGAGCAGAGCAGGCAGAATGACGAGGTACACTGCTGAGGGGAACAGCGGGCCGGGCAGGAGAGGTCTGCGCCCCATGTGGGACCCTCGCCCAGCCGTCAGGGATAGAACTGGCGCTGCAGAGGCTGCAGGCAGCTTCACAGTCCAGCACTTAACCGCTGCACCACCGGGGAGGCCCTTGATGACATATTCTTAATTTTAGCCATTATTGTGTGTATGTAGTAACAGCTCACTGTTGCTTTAAGTTGCATTTCCCTGATGATTAAAAGCAGTAAGCATCTCAAGTTCTATTTAGTTACTTACATATTTTGTGAAATACCTGTTTAACTCTTTTGCCTATTAAAAAAATTAGGTTTTTTTGTCAACTTGTCACTCAATTGTAAGTTCTTTCATATTCTGCATACCAATCCTTTGTCAAACATATATTTCAAACATTTTTCTCCTATTCTATGACTTGAGTTTTCATTTTCTTAGGAGTATCTTTTGAAGAACAGAATTTTTTAAGTTTGGTGAAATTTTCATTTTTTAATTTTTTGAGTCCTACTTAAGAAATCTTTGCCTTCTGTTAGTTAAAATGAGTTTCTCTGGGCCTCCCCGGTGGCGCAGCGGTTCAGCACTGGGTTGAGAAGCTGCCCGCAGCCTCTGCAGCGCCAGTTCGATCCTGGGAAGCTCCCCAGCCACCGGTGGAGGGTCCCACATGGCGCACAAACCTCTCCTGCCGCCTGCTGCTCCCATCCCTGCTCTGCTCCCTGCTCTGGCTCTGGTGGATTCTCTCACCCTCTCGCGCTTCTGACTGTACCCAGTGCTTGTATAAATAAATAAATAAATAAATAAATAAAATAAATCTTTAAAAATAAATAAATAAAATAAAATGAGTTTCTCTTTCGTTTTCTTCTAGAGGTTTTATACCTTTAGCTTTACATTTTGTTCAGTAATTCTTTTAAAGTAACTTTTGCGTATAGTGTGAAAATAAAGACAAATTTAGCTTTCATGCATGTGGCTGTCCGGTTGTTGCTGCACTGTTTGTTGTGAAGTCTTAATATTGAGTAATCTTGGGCCCTTTGTGAGAAACAATTGACTCCTTATATGTGGATCAATTTCACACTCTCTATTCTGTTCCATTGATCTGTGTGTCTATCTCTTTTTTTTAGATTTATTTTATTTATACAAGAGCTGGGGTACAGGCCAGAGGCATGGGAGGGTGAGAGGATTCACCAGAGACACAGCAGGGAACAGAACAGGCAGATGGGTGGACTGAAGACATTGCTGAGGGTAGCAGCGGGCGAGGCAGGAGAGTTCTGCCGCACCATGTGGGCAGCTCCCTGGCAGGCTGGGAATCGAACCCATGCTGCAGAGGCCACGGACAGCCTCACAGCACTGTGCTCAACCTGCTGTGCCCAACCCGCTGCACCACCGGGAGGCCCCTCTGTGCCTATCTTAACACAGTGCCAAAACTGTCTTAATTACTGTAGCTACATAATCACTCTTGATATCAGATATGATATCATACTATCTGTATGATATCATCTACCAAGGTATCAGCTACCTTGTTTTTCAAAATTGTATCGACTCCTCTATATCATTTGCATTTCCATATAAATTTAGAATAAGCTTATTTCTATAGAAATAAGCTACAGATCAGTTTGGGGGGAATTGCTTTGTAAAATCATTGAGTTCTGATTTGTGAATATTGTTTATTGTGCCATTATTTTAGATCTCTTTCATTTGAAAGAAATATTTTGAAATCACAGGTCTTTTTTTTTTAAAGATTTATTTATGTATTTATACATACAAGCACTGGGTACAGTCAGAAGCGCGGGAGGGTGAGAGAATTCACCAGAGCCAGAGCGGGGAGCAGAGCAGGCAGAAGGACCGAAGTACACTGCTCAGGGGAGCAGTGGGCGGCAGGAGAGGTCTGCGCACCATGTGGGACCCTCCTCCAGTGGCCGGGGAGCAGCCGGGGATCGAACCGGCGCTGCAGAGGCTGCGGGCAGCTTCGCAACCCAGTGCTCAACTGTTGCGCCACTGGGGAGGCCCTGAAAGAAATATTTTGTACCTTTTAGTATACAGGTCTACATATGTGATCAATTTTTCCTTAAGTATATAAAACATACCTTTCATATTGATGAGAAAATTTTCTTGAGGGTTTTGAGAACCCCTCATTTTTTTTCTGATAAAATGCACCTGATGATTTTAGCAACACTTGATATCAGTAATGAGTGGAACAGTGTGCTTGAAGAGGAGTAAAGAACCCCATTGCCAGGTGAAATGCATATACTATTGAGGCATCTGGGCCTCACTTACTGGCTGAGTGATTTGCTTTCATTGCCCACCAATCCTGAAGATAGTTTCATTTAAATGTCCACCTCTTTAAAATGACAAGTCTTTATACTGCAGATTTTAAGGGTGTATCTTAAGATAGCACCCTGAATTCTGAATGTCAGGAGTCCAGGGATGTTTCTACTATTTGTTTAAAAGTCTCTTTCTTTAACTATGAATTCGTCTAGGGCAGGAACCTTGTTTCGTTTCTCCACGTAGCTCCAGTGCCAGGAAGTGAATGGGGAGCTGGCGGAGGGGGGTACAATGTAGGATGAATAGACACCTGATGAACATCAGGTCTCAAAAAAGACCATGAAAATTGAGGGGAGCAGATGTGGGAACTGAAGTCAAGATTAGGACTCATCAGCAGGAATCTTCAAAGGGAAAATTGGGTTCATGAGATAACCTGACACAGTCCCAGTATATTCTAGCAGATTCTCACATCTTCTTGTATGCTTTTGTGGTAGTGCAAAATTTGCCACCCCAAAATATGTCCTTTTGGCATTAGGATTATTTTGACATGGTTATTTTTAAGATATAGCAGATTCAAAAATTTTTTCTTTAACCTCTCCCTTACCTGCCTGCTAGACTTTAGATAGGAGACCTTTACCAGGAAGGAAACTCATCAGAGATAATTACAAAGCATAAGAACTAGGTATGGCAGACTGGGGGAAATTAGCAAGGCCTGTTTGTTCAAAGTCTTCACTATGTCCCTTTGTCTCTGCATGGCATACAGAACATTTTTTTACCAACATTTGCTTTTCCCATCTCCATGTAAATTGTCTTCTTCCCTTTGAAATCCCAGGCCCTCTTAACACTTCTCCCTAGCTCAGCATGGCATGCAAACCCCATAGCCTCATGTCAGGGAGCCTCATGTCTTTGGGGGTTCCTGTACATATGCAATTAAGTTTGTCTTTCTCCTGTTGATCTCTCTTATGTCAATTTTATTTTATTTTAAAGATTGATTTATTTATGCATACAAGAACTGGGGTACAGGCCAGAGGGGGAGGGGTGAAAGCATTCACCAGAGACAGAGTGGGAAACAGAACAGGCAGATTGACTGAAATACACTGCTGAGGGGAGCAGCGGGCAAGACAGGAGAGGTCTGCTGTGCCATGTGGGTCAGCTCCCTGGCTGGGGATCGAACTCATGCTGCAGTGGCTGTGGATAGCTTCATAAATATTTATTGAATTCTTACAATGTACTTGCACTCTTTTAAGCCATGGAAAGGGGGAAAAGCTGAGTGAGGTAATATCCTTCCCCTAAAGGAACTCACAGTCTAGTGATAGATACAGACATAAGGACAAATGATTTTACTATATTACACAGTGATAGAGGAGCGCATTGAAGACTCAGAAGTGAAAATAGGAATATTTAACCCAACTCTGTCTCTTCAAATTGTGGGGTGGTCAGAAAAGCCTTCTAGGAGAAAATGATATATGAACTGAATTTATTTTAAAAGATTTATTTATTTATGCATACAAGGAGTATAGGCCAGAGATGTGGGGGGTGAGAGGATCCACCAAAGACAGAGTGGGGAACAGAACAGGTAGACTGATTGAAATACACTGCTGAGGGCCTCCCTGGGTGGCGCAGCGGTTGAGCGCTGGGCTGCGAAGCTGCCCGCAGCCTCTGCAGCGCCGGTTCAATCCCCAGCCACCGTGGAGGGTTCCACATGGCGCACAGACCTCTCCTGCCGCCCACTGCTCCCCTCAGCAGTGTACTTCAGTAAATCTTCCTGCTCTGCTCTCCCCTCTGGCTCTGGTGAATTCTCTCACCCTTACGAGCTTCTGAATGTACCCAGTGCTTGTATAAATAAATAAATCTTAAAAAAAAAAAAAAAGGAAATACACTGCTGAGGGGAGCAGCAGGCAAGACAGGAGAGGTCTGCCTTGACATGTGGGTTTCTCCCTGGCTGGCCGGGGATTGAACTCATGCTGCACAGGCTATGGATTGCTTCATAGTGTGGCGCTTAACCCCTTGCGCCACTAGGGAGGCCCCTGAATTTTTTTTTAAAGACACTTTTTTCTTTTTTACAGAGCAGTTTTAGGGTCACAGCAAAATGAGAGAAAAGTATGAAGATTTCCCATGTCTCCTGTGTGCACAATCAACATTCCACATTAGAATGGAACATTTGTTACAATTGATAAACCTACAGTGACATTACCATAATAACCCAAAATCCATAACATATGTTAGGGCTCACCTGACATTGTACATCCTATGGATTTGGACAAATGTATAATGACATGTCTCCATCATTATAGTATCACACAGGATATCTTCACTGTCCTAAAAATCCCATGTGCTCTGGCTATTCATCTCAAACCCTGGCAACCAGTGCTTTTTTTTTTTACTACCTTCACACTTAGGCCTTTTCCAGTTATCATATATAGTAGGTAGGTTTTTTCAGTGGACTTCTTTCACTTAATAGTGTGCATTTGAGCTTCCTCCATGTCTTTTTATGGCTAGTTAGCTCTTTTAATTTTTTTAGTGCTGAATAATATTCTATCATCGTAATGTACCACAATTTATGTATGTACTCACAAACTCAAGGACATCTTGGTTACTTCGAAATTTTGGCAATTGTGAATAAAGCTGCAATAAATATCCATGTGCAGGTTTTTGTGTGGACATAAGTTTTCAATTCATATGGGTAAATACCAAGAAGCAGAATTGCTGGAGCATATGGTAAGAGTATGCTTAGTTTTATAAAAAACTGCCAAACTGTCTTCTAAAGCTGTTGTACCATTTTGCAATGACTAAGAGTTCCTCTTGCTCCACATCCTAGCCAGCATTTGGTGCTATCACTGTTCTGGATTTCCATTCCAATAGGTGTGTGCCATGGTACCTTTTTGCTTTAATTTCCATTTCTTTATGACATATAGCATGTTTTTTAGCACCTGATTATTTTCTTTGTTAAAGTCTTTGGCCCATTTTATTTTATTTTATTTTTTTTTATAAATTTTATTGTTATATTCCCCATACAATTGCAGCCCCCCCATTCTGACCCCAATCCCTCCCTCCCGCCCCGCCCCCCTAAAAGTGTCTCTGGTTCATAGTTTTTTGTTGATTTTGATTTTTCACTTCTTATAGTTATTCATTTTCCTGGTCCCTTATTTAAGTTTTCTAGATTCCTGCTATGAGTGAGACCATCCGGTATTTTTCTTTTCTTTTGGCTTATTTCGCTGAGCATGATCCCTTCCAGCGCCATCCATGTTGCTGCAAATTGCATGTGTTTATCTTTTTTGAATGCTGAGTAATATTCCATGGTATATATGTACCACATCTTCTTGATCCAGTCATCTATTTTTGGGCATTTGGGTTGTTTCCAAAGCTTAGCTATTGTAAACAGTGCTGCTATAAACATAGGGGTGCAGGTGTTTCTTTGGAATTGATGTTTCTGTGTCCTTTGGGTAAATACTAAGAGTGGAATTGCTGGATCATTATGGAGCTCTAGTTTTAGTAGGTCCCAGAAATCTCCACACAGCTCTCCACAGTGGTTGGACCAGTTTGCACTCCCACCAACAGTGCAGAAGAGTTCCTTTTTCTCCACACCCTCGCCAGCATTTGTGTTGCTAGTTTTTTTAATATGTGCCATTCTCACTGGTGTAAGATGGTATCTCATGGTAGTTTTGATTTGCATTTCCTGATGGCAAGTGATGTTGAACATTTTTTTCATATGCCTGTTGGCCCATTTGCATTTCCTCTTCAGAGAAGTTTCTTTTAGCTTCTTCTGCCCTTTTTGACTGGATTATTTTCTTTGTTGTTGCTGAGTCTCATCAGCTCTTTGCAGATTTTTGTGATCAGTCCTTTATCATTAGTGTTGGGTGCAAAAATGTTCTCCCAGTTGGTGGGGTTTCTCTTTGTTTTTGTTATTGTCTCTTTTGCTGTGCAGAAGCTCTTTAATTTGATGTAGTCCCAGCTGTTTATCTTGCTTTCACTATCACTGCTTTGGGTGATGTGTCTGTAAAGATTCTTTGATGTGCAGA